ATGACATGAGACAAAGTATATGTGAACTGCTGTATGGAAAGTGAATTTGCTCTGTAAATCTTCACCCAAATCACAATAAATTAAAAAAATAAATCAAATAAAAAAAATAATAATGAAAAAAAAAAAGAAAACCCTTTGAGGATCTTGAAGCTTGCAAGCAGCCATCTACATGCAATGATGGGTCTCACCCAGTCCAGAGCAAAGAAGAATGAAGAAAACCAAAGACACATGGAAACAATTAGTTCAAGCGACTGGTACACCATGTGATCCTCAGCCTACATGACTATGAGACCAAAAGAACTAGATGGTGCCCAGCTACCACTGTCAACCTCTCATAGGGGGTTCTATATGTAGGAGATCCTGGATAGAGTAGGAGAACAATGTGGAAAAAAGCTCAAAATCACACACACACACACACAAAGGGACCAGGTTTACTGGTCTGATAGAGCCTGGTGAAACCCCTGAGACTATGACCCCTAGCTGCCTTTGAGGTCTGGAATTGAACCCACTCCCGTGGCTTCCAGCCAAACAAAAGACAGGCATATGAGCTGAACATTTACACTAGGTAGATACACTCCTTGGAGAAAACAATCATGGGAGAATACAAGGGCTGTGTATGCACAGGGTGACTGCTCAGGGGGCAGAAGTGCATGGAGGGAAGGACACAGGGAAGAAGTAACTGTGGGGACAAGTGGGAAGAGAGCTGTTGCATTGTGGGAAATTGCAGTCAATGTCATGAAACAAAGTGTATGTATGTGAACTGCTGTATGGAAAATGAATTTGCTTTGTAGACTTTCAGTGAAATCACAATAAACATTAAAAAAAAGAGACAATATCAAACAAACAAAAAACCCTTTGAGGTAGGTTATTAGTTGTCCCCACAGGGACGCACAGGGAGGTTCAGCAATTAGTCCAAAGTGGCATCAGGTAAGAGGCAGGGCTCTTATCCTCCACAGAACCTGCATGAAAACATCAATACCTTCAGCATAAGGCAGCTTTCATTCCACTAAGGAGGAGTTAGGAGCTCTGGTAGCACAGTGGCTAAAGCACTTGACGGCTAACCAGAAGGCTGGCGGTTCAAACCCACCAGCCACTCCTCGGAAGGAAGGTTGGGCAATCCTATTTCCGTAGTGATACTGCCTCGGAAACCCAAGGAGGGGTCGCTATGAGTTGGGGCCGACTCGACGGCACACAACAACAACAACAAGGAAGAGTGAAAGTTCAATATGCAAAAAGACAACAGCAGACCATAAGCATTGAGAACTATACTAGAAAACTTGGACCAGGACCCTCACCTTGGCAGCCCAAAATGGCCAGGACTGGTCAGTGAGTGCCAGCTCCCTATTTTTTGTGTCCCTGCTTCCAACTCTGTGCTAACTAGAGAAAGCCAAATATGACCCAACCAATCACACAGGACTCCCACTTCTAGTTTGCCACCTCCAACTTTCCCATGTCAACCACCTCCACCAGGACGCACCTGAGCCTCCCCCTTTTTCCACTATAAAGTTTTCCCACTCCTTTGTCTCTTGAGTCTTTGCCAAACTCAATGGTGGCTGACTCCCTTGCTACAACAGCTCTGAATAAATAGCCTGCTTGTTCTCATTTGGGAGGTGTCTTTGCTTATTTCCACAGGTGTTACTTTTCCATCTGTAAACTGTGGGCACCTTCTGACCTACTCAGACACAAGGTGGCATCTTTAGGTCAAAATCTTCTGCAAGACAAGTAGCCAAGCCTACCACAGCTACAGGATGGGGAAAAGCAACAGAATGGCCCTCCTTCCAAAGCCTTTATTACTTTTCCTACTTGGAGCATTTTTCCATTTGTTCTTTCAGTAGTCACTTGACCATCTCCCTCTCCTGCCCTAGGACTCTAACCACACTTGAAGTTCTTTCCTGGAGGAAGAGAAAGGCCCACCTCCCACACATAATTGTTCCTAGGCCACTCCCGTTCTGCCCTGAGGCCCAGAGGAAGAAGAGGCCCTACCTTGTCCCTGAAAGGCAAAACCCAGCGACTGGACCTGCCCAGTCGTCCAGTAAGGTGTGTGGCTCTGGAAAATATATGAGGGGCAGTTCGTAAGTTTATTAAAGGCCATCATATAACAACAGTTCCTAGCGCAAACCCCATCCCGGCCCAAACACTGAAAGGGACCCGTCCCTTCGCTAGGTAGTTATCCAATCTAAATCCCTAACCCAAATCCTGCCAAAACCAATCCCTTTTCCAGTGCGCCCCGTTCTCACTCACGGCCTCCACCGATCCCTCTCCTAAACTTTACTGGATCTCTTTGCGCTTCCAGTCTATCCACTTAAGCCCTTGCTCTGTGACCCCGTGTGGCCGCCCTCGAGGAACCGGTTTGCAATGTTCACCGCGGCTGCCCCAACAGGCTGGCAAACGATGTAGGGGCATAGTGTGGGCGAGTCCTGGGTCAGGCCTTGCAGATGGAGGGCCCAAACCCGCGGGATGTCGGGCCGAGGTCCAGCGGGTGCCTCCTGACCCTCGCTGTAGTGGAAGCCCTCTGTCCTCGGCAGCACTCAGTGCCGTTTCCCCGGTTATTCCAGAGCCCGCCGCTTTCCCTGGCACGCACTGGAATCAAGGTCAGGAATCCAGCAGGACTGGACCGCTCCCCGCATCTCTCTGCTCTGGAAATACCCACATCCCCACCCTCGGGCTCCCGCAGGTGCTAGCCCCCCTTCGGGAGTAAGCTTCCGTCCGGGGAGGGGGACACCAAACCCAAGCCCGGGGGGACGTCCCTCTACAGAAAGCGGCGCCTGCAGGGGCGAGGCGGTCAAGATCTTCGCCGTTCGCCCCTGTCAAGCGCCCCAGTTCGTAACACGCTGCAGCAACGCTTCGGAGTCGCCCCCTGCCGCGCGCCTTGGTTCCACCCACGCCTCACGTGACTTTAGTCCCGCCTGCGCCTCATATGACATTAGTCATGCGCGTCACGTGACTACCGCGCCTATTTAGTGCCCAGGAGGTGGTACCGCTTCCGGGGTTCTGTCTGCCTAGCTGGGTCCACTCTCTTTACTCTGCGCCAGTCATCCCCACTTACGCCCCCAAGATGATGTGTGGAGGGCCCTCTGCCACGCAGCCGGCCACCGCCGAGATCCAAGTGATTGCCGACCAGGTGAGGACCGAGACCTGCGGACGGTCTCTCCCAGCCCTTCCCCACTCTCGCTCGGAGAGGTTTGGAGTTTTGCTGATGAGGGCTGAGAGGGGTACTGACGGGGTACCTTCCCTCAACATCATTCCAGTCAGGTACACACGAAGGCTCCCTAAAGGAGGGCTCAGGAAGGGGTCAGGGGATAGCGTGGAATTTGGTAACTTTGAGTTTGGACTGCGATCGAAGCCGGCACTGCTGGGTTCGGCAGAGATGGTCCTTTCTGAAAAGTCTCCTTGCACTATGGGGTTAGCTGAGCAAAGGAGAGAAACAGGGAAGGGAAAAGGGGGATGTAATGGAGAGAGAAAAGGGAAACTGCCTTGTCCTTTGCTTGGAAATGAACCAGTTATAGTAACAAAAGACACTTCCAGGCACAGAAGCGGGGGTAGTAATTTGCAGAGTTTGTGATTAAAAACAAGTTCGATTGGAGCAGAGCCTAGAAAGATCCTGAGCAGACTCTTGATTTCCTCATGTCTCTATTTCCTCTTCTGTAAAAGTGGGTATAATAGCAGTATCTGCCTCTGAATGTTGTGGTGAGAGTTAAATGAGTTAATATATACAAAACTTTTAGTATTACCTTTAAGTCAGATCTGCTCTTCTTAACATGATCTGTTAACAAAATTAGTTCACGCACTGGTCAGTAAACCAAGAAATGTTCAGAGCCTATAAAGGCTCTTAGGGAAAAGTAAAACAAACTTCCTCCTTTAATTTTCCTCTCTGAGCTACTTCTTCATAAACCCCATGAAATGTGGTCAGCCCAGCCCACACTGTAGTTGCTCAAATGGTTTTGACCATCTGATGGTAAACGGAGGTGAATCAGATTCATGAGACTTTTAAAAATGAGATTGTCCGGAACTCCAATGCAGGCATGTGTGAGTCACACCCGGCAAAGTATTCTTCACTCTCCTCAACAGCCACTTCTATAAGCTTAGCCCATCCTGACCAGTTTCCTACTTTTCCAGGCCTAAAAAACTTCTCATCTGATAGAATCTTTTACAAGGCAGCATGAACTTTGAGTATGTGTAAGTTCTTGTTGGAGCCAAGATAGAAGAATTGCTGTCTCAAAACAAACAAACCAGCTGCTATTGAGTCTACTCCAACTTATGGCTACCCTACATGCATCAGAGTAGAATTGTGCTCCATAGGGTTTTCAGTAGCCGAGTTTTCTTCTGAGGCACCTCTGTGTGGAACTGAACCTACAGCCTTTTGGATAGCAGGCAAGCATGTAAACTGTGTGCACCACCCAGGGACTCCTGCTGACTAATAGCAACCCTATAGGACAGAGTAGAACAACTGCCTCATAGGGTTTTCAAAGCTATAATCTTTGCGGAAGCTGATTGCCACATCTTTCTCCTGCAGAATAGCTGATGGATTCAAACTGCTAGCCTTTTGGTTAGCAGATGAGTGCTTAACCACTGTGCCACCAGAGCTTCTTGCTATCTCAAAGGGGATCCTTAATTTGGTAAAAGTGACATGTAACATATAAATGATAGAGCTAACAGGGGACAAAGTTATGATAACTTCTTAGCCACAGCCAACCACCTTGAGGAAGTGAGTTGTTCTGCCCGTGGACTCAAGACCATGGTTGCAGGGGACATCAAGCTCAATTGGCATAGCATACTACACAAAACATTGTTCTACATCCTACTTTGGTGAGTAGTGACTGGAGTGTTAAAAACTTGCAAGAGGCCATCTAGAGGCCTCTAGATGTAGTAGATCTGGATAGAGGGGAGAACAATGTGGAACAAAATTCAAAATCATAAAGACCAGGCTTACTGGTCTGGTAGAGACTGGTGAAATCCCCGAGACTACAGCCCTCAGTCACCCATTGGGCCTGGAATTGAACTCACTCTTGTGGCTCCCAGTGAAACAATAGACAGGCATTTACAGTGAAAATTTACACCAGGTAGATATACTTTTTAGAACAGTCAACCATGGGAGATCAGAAGGGCAGTATTTCCACAGAGAGATCGCTCAGTGGGCAGGAATACATAGGGAAGGACACAGGAAAAAGGTTACCACAGGGAGGAAGTAGGGGGAGAGCTGTTACTGTTATGGGGCTTGCAATCAGTGTAATGAAACAAAATGTGTATGAACGATTGTAATGAAAATGAATTTGCTCTTTAAAGTTTTGCCAAAATCACACACAAAAATACTAATAAACCAGAAAAAGAAAACGTGACATGTAAGTGGGCAGTAGTTATTGCTGTTGGGAGGAATTTCAGGGCAGGTAGTATGAAAATTGGCCTACTTCAGCTGGTCTCTAAGAGGAAGAAATGGGGAGGAGAGAGGTAGGAGCATATAGTGAGCATGGGTCTTGGGTCAGATTTTATTGAATCCTTACAGGAGAACTCGGTGTGTTACTGTCTCCCACTTGCAGATGGTAAAGGTGGAGGTCAGAGGTGTAGACTAACCAAGGTCTGAAGGGCTTGAGAGACCACACTATACAAAGCGCATTGTGATCCTCCTTGACTCTTGTCCCTGTGCCTGTGCCTCTGCTCCATCCTGCTCCTGAGGGCTGTTAGTTAACAGCTTTCTCACTGACCCTACATGCCTCTGTCACTCTCCTTTGCTAAACTGCAGCTGTCACCCCCTAGGGTAAAGGGTTTGGCATTGGAATTCAATTTATAAACTTTACTAGGAGAAATGAGCTCTCAAATGTGTACGCTGCTTAAGCAGAAGGGAAGACACAGGTTTTCCATTCCGTTCCCCTCTCCTAGGTAAAGTCCCAGCTTGAAGAGAAAGAAAATAAGAAGTTCCCTGTGTTTAAAGCTATGGAGTTCAAGAGGCAGTTGGTTGCTGGGACAAACTACTTTATCAAGGTAGAGCATGTTTCTCAGGGTGAAGTGGGTGTCTCACTTGAAGTGGGGGCTTGTGAGAACTGGGGTGGCATCAGCATAGAGGTGGTTAGTTGGGGGTCCTATGGCTACTTTAGGCTTCAGAAGGTCATGGGCCCCTAAATGTCTGTTTGCACACTCAGGAGAAGGACTGAGGCTCTGATGGTGTGCTAAGCATGCCCAGGCTATGGTCATAAGGCGTCTGCTTGGATGGAGGACAGTGGTAGTTGTCATGAGGCCAGCCAGTTGTGGAGGACTGAATGGACTGGCCTCCACACTGTCTAAGGCAGCATCCCCTTGCCTTCCTAGCCCACACATGGTGGAGGAGAAGAGGGAGCTCAGTCCAAGGCTATGCCTGCACCCCATCACTTGACTTTCTCTCTCCAGGTTCATGTGGGCAATGATGACTTCATGCACCTGCGTGTATTTCAGAGTCTACCTCATGAAAACAAGCCTCCAACCTTGGCCAACTACCAGACCAACAAGGCCAAGCATGATGAGCTGGCATATTTTTAATTCCTGGTTTTGAGTAGGGCTCTTTGTCCATGTGACAGTGCATGAAAATGATTCCGTTAACTGAGTGTGTACCTGGGACCAGAAAATAAACATCTCCCCATTGTGCCACTTGGAATGGGAGGGGTATCATTAGCATCTCTTCTGTCTCTGTTCCTAAATTGTTCACATATCCCAATGAATGATCAATCCTAATCAATAACCTTAACTAATTTACTTTCAAAGAAGGCTGTTTTATCTATAAATATGTATATATTTTAAGCCTTTGAAAATTTCCTCCTTTGTTGTGTTTTTGTCTTCATCCTAAACCGTATTTATGAGATAAGAGTGATAGGAGGGGAGAGTGTTCATGAAACCCTCTCCCAGCCGCAAGGCCTGACTGTTGCCTGGAGCCATTGTGTTCCCCTAGGCTGCACCATGGCAGCAGGTCGCAGTCAAATTCATGGCCAGGAGGTCTGGCTGCATGGAGTCAGCTCCATCTGGTCACACAGCCCACTCCTCCTTGTCCCAGCTCTCAGAGCTGTGTAGGTGACAGGACATTAGGGCAGAACCAGCTGTCTTGGTGTGGGGGCAGAGAGCTCTTCCACTTCCCCTCCAGAACCATCTCCCCTCTCCGCCCTCCCTTGTGCTAGAGTTGACCAACATGGATAGATCCACATTCTGACCTCTGGCTTCCCAGTGATCTGTGTGCCTGTCCCCAGCCCCTCTCTGTGGAGACCACCTTAGTGCTTCTGTCAGGTATCCCCCACTTCTGCCCACACATCTTATCTCCAGGTTCTGTTAACTTGCCTGTCCAGGACAGGAATGGCCCCCACTCTGCTAACCTGGGGGCTGCCTGACCCTTATGTCCTTAAGCCCTGACTACACAGTTGTGGATAGCCCCTTTATTACCTTTATTAAACCCTCCTGCCATCTGCTTCCTGCCAGGACTAGCTGACTAGACACTAACCAAGGGGCTTCCCCACCTCCATCAGTCACAGGCCCTCAAGAACTCTCAAGATAGGGACCCTGTCCTTCCCCTCACCCCACACAGGATTCTCATGAATGCTGGTTTTCCCAAAGCCTGAGGTTGTGGCTGTTCTGCATCCTTGCTCAGACTGAAGCCTGCATACTGCTAGGGCTGTGGTCCTATCCTACAAGTGGGGCTTGTGACCTAGTGTTCAGCAAGGCAAAGCAAATAGTTGCTTTATGGCTCAGAGAGATGCTGCTTTGGTTACCTGAAGTGCTGCTCTAATAGGAATAGAACACAAATGGGATGGCTTGAACACAGGAGTTTATTCTTTTACAGTTTTGGAGGCTAGAAGTCTGAGTTCCAAGCGCTGGGCTTAGGGGCTGGGTGAAAGCCCCTTGACCTTGGGCTTCAGCTCTGACTCTTGCTCCTGGCCCACGGAAGCTAGAGGCATCTCTTCATTCAGGCAGCTGCTGGCTGCTGAGGCTGACAAGCCCAAGGTTGACAAATAAAATGGCACAGTCCCAATGTTACCAAACCACATGGCAAGCCATTAATTAAGTCCCAAGACTGGCAGAGCATGGCAGGCTGCTGAATGAAGACTCAGCTACATGCAAGGTCCAAGCATGCCCAAAAGCTGGAGACCTTCCTCAAAGTTGCTTCTTATATACTGGAAGCAGCCCACATCTCTAAAGCAGCTATTTAGCTGCTCCAGTAGATTCTACCACAGAGTTAATTACCTATCTCACTATGGAGAATAACTACATCCAGCTGCCCAGCCACTCAAAACCAGGCCCAGCCAAACTGACACACAACCCTAACTACCACAGATGCCATCATGCCCTGCAGCATGCCAGCTATCTAATAGCTATCAGAATATGGTGCTGCTACAAATCAGATAAAATGAGGTTCCCATTAGACTAGAGATAAGATATAATTAGAATAATACATAATTGGATGCAAGTTGTACAATAGAGAATATTGCAAATTTGGGTAATCTGATGGCTCCATTATTGGGCACAGCATCTAGGAAGTCCTAACTGAGCTGCTTGGAAGAGGAACTTAAGTCACATGTTTACATGTGTCCAGGATGCAGGTCCAGCATCTCAGAGCTTCATATTCGTTAAACACCAGGGGCTGTTATTTCTGTTTATTGACTTTGGGCCACTGGCATGTCCAAGCTCCATGGAGCCATCCTAGCAGATTTGTAGGAGCAGTTCCAGAGGACCTCGCCAAAGCATTGAATACTGAGCATGAGAGTCTGTTAGGCCCGCCATAACAAAGTACCACAGGCTATGGCCTTAAGACAACAGAAATGTCTTCTCTCACAGTTCTGGACGTCAGAAGTTCAAAATCAAGATGGTGGCAGGGCCATTCTCCCTCTAAAGGCTCTAAAGAGGTGCTGCCAGAAATCCTTAATGTTTCTTGGCTATGGCTTCATCATTCCATTCCCTGCCTTGATCTTTACATGGCCTGATCTGTGTGTCTTTGTCTTCTCCTTTTCTCCCTCTTATAAGGATCTTATTGGATTTAGGGCTCACCTGGGTAATCCAGGATGATCTCATCTCAGGATCCTTCACATAATCACATCTGCAAAGATCTTGTTTGCAAATTAGGTCACAGTCACAGGTCCTGGGGTCAGGAGTGGCCATACCTTTTTTGGGGCCCACTTGAATGACTTATAAGCCCATAGAAAGGACTTGGACTGGCAGCAGGTGTCCAGGGAGAAGCTGGGGTGATGGAAAAGGCTGACAAAGTCATTCTGAGCCTGTAGGAGCCACAGATCCCACCCCATGCCATTGGACTGAAAGAGATGGCATGTTTGAGAAGTGTGGCTCCTAGCTGCTTGGTCCCTTTTCCCACCTTGTGGTGTCAGGAGGAAGTCCTCATGCCTACTTCCTGTTGTTGTTAGGTGCCATTGAGTTGGCTCCAACTCACCATGACCCTGTGTACAACAGAATGAAACACTGCCTGGTCCTGTGCCATCCTCACAATGCTTGCTCTGCAAGTCCATCGTTACCACCATTGTGTCAATCCATCTCGTTGAAGGCCTTCCCCTTTTTCGTTGACCCTCTACCAAGCATGATATCCTTCTCCAGGGAATGGTCCCTTCTGACAATATTACCAAAGTAGGTGAGACAAAGTCTGGCCATTCTAGCTTCCAAGGGGCATTCTTGCTGCACTTCTTCCAGGACAGATTTGTTAGTTCTTCTGGCAGTCCATGGTATTTTCAGCATTCTTCACCAACACCACAACTCAAAAGCATCAACTCTTCTTTGGTCTTCCTTATTCATTGTCCACCTTTCATATGCATATGAGGCAACTGAAAACAGCATGGACTGTTTCCTAAGGTCCTCCAAAGCTGAGGCTTCCCCCAGGGCTTAGCACACACACATGGATTGTCCTCAAAGTGTGACCATGGCTGGGGGGGATGCCAGCACTTCTAAAAATTGCATTATTGTATTTGTACTTTTGGACAGGTCCATAGATGAAACAAATGCAGGATTCCAGGTTCAAAGGTACAAAAGGAGATGCAGAGAATATGATTCTTCCTCCTGCCCCAACTTGCTTTTCCAGAGGTGACCCCTTTGCCAGTTTTCAATGTCCATGCTCTTTCTACCCAGTCATGGCTTCTGGCGAATTTCTCCATGAGTATACCATTCTTTTGGCCACTCTGGCTAATCTGACCATCAGGGGTTGGACCACATCCATTGTTTGTTTGTTATTGCTGCTGTTGTCAAGTCAGCTCTCAACTCATGGGGATCCCACAATGAAACATGTTAAATGCTTCCCAGTCCTGCACCATCCCCGTGATTGGTTGCACATTGGACTACTGTGATCCATGGGGTTTTCACTGGCTGATTTTTGGAAATAGAGCACCAAGCCATTTTTAGTCCATCTTAGGCTGGAAGTTCCACTGAGGCCTGTTCAGCCTCATAGCAACCCATAAGCTTCTACTGACAGGTGGTGGCTGCTCATGAGATACATTGGCTGGGAATCAAACCCGGGTTTCCCACATTTGTTGTTGTTAGGTGCTGTCAAGTTGTCTCAACTCATAGCGACCCTACATACAACAGAACAAAGCACTGCCCAGTCCTGTGCCAGCCTCACATTCCTTGCTATACCGAGCCTATCACTGCAGCCACTGGGTCTGTCCATCTCATTGAGGGCCTTCCCTTTCTTTGCTGACCCTCCACTTTACCAAGCATGATACCCTTCTCCAGGAATGGTCGCTTCTTACAACATGACCAAAGTAGGTGAGACGAAATCTAGCCATTCTTGCTTTCAAGAAGCATTCCAGCTGCATTTCTTCCAGGACAGATTTGTTCATTCTTTTAGGAGTCCATGGTTGTTGTTGTTGTTAGGTGCCATTGAGTCGTTTCCGATTCATACCGGTCCTATGCACAGCAGAACGAAACACTGCCTGGTCCTGAGCCAGCTCCATGATTCTTGCTATACTTGAGCCCATTGCCACTGCCACTGTGTCACTCCATCTTGTTGAGGGCCCTCCCCTCTTTTGTCGACCCTCCACCTGACCAAGCATGACATCCTTCTCCAGGGAATGGTCCCTTCTGACGACCAAAGTATGTGAGATGAAGTATGGCCATTCTCGCCTCCAAAGAGCATTCTGGCTGCACTTCCTCCAGGACAGACCTGTTAGTTCTTTTAGCAGTCCATGGGACTTTCAGCACTCTTTGCCAACACCACAGCCCAAAAGCATCAATTCTTCTTTGGTCTTCCTTATTCATTGTCCAGCTCTCACATGCATATGAGGTGATTGAAAATACCACGGCTTAGGTGCACCTTAGTCCTCAAGGAGACATCTTTGCTCTTCAGCACTTGAAAGAGGTCCTTTGCAGCTGATTTGCCCAGTGCTATATGTTGTCTGATGTCCTGACTGCTGCTTCCATTGGCGTCGATTATAGAACCTAGTAATGTGAAGTCTTTCACAATTTCAATCTTCTCTTCATTTATCATAATGTTGCTTATAGGACCAGTTGTGAGGATTTTTGTTTTCTTTATATTGAGATGTAATCCATACTGCAGACTGTAT